GATTAAGATATTACTCGTCATGGGCCCCCTGGCTGCCGCCAACATTCACAGCTGCATGCCGGTCCTATTTTTCACATACTTTCTCCCATGAGCGGCAGTTTTTCTCCTAAAAAATCCACAAATGACATTTTTTTTGAATTCTGGCCTTGGGAGTTTTTTTCTTGCCTGTTATTTTTCCTCTGTTACACCTGCTGGTTCGTTTTAACTGACATCGCCACATGTGATTGTTTTACTTGGAACAAGTGAGTAGTCGCCTACGATTAGGTAAACGACTTATCTGAGATTTTCGGCGGTGCCGGTGCATTTCTTAACTACGGTGTACCAATAGGGCGTTCAAAGGCGTTTGCCTATATTTCCCCTAATAAACTTGACTTGGCTTGACTCTTAGACCCACCGTAAGCTAAGAACGTGCCTTGTGAACGTCACAACTAGACCAGTCACGGAGTTGCCTTACGTCCTGTTATACGGATGCGTAGAATTCTGCGACCACTTATTTACCTTTATTTCCCCCTCCTCCCTGTCTCCCTACTTCATAGAACTTAATAAGTACAAGATAGCTAGGCATGCACGGCTTCTTGAGCCCCGGTATCTGGCGCTGAAAAATCGGCAGCGCCCTACTAGGGCTTTTAGGGACCGGTTTAGTTGAGTGGTAACATCGATTCCAGAAATATTACGGCTCTCCTCGTCATCTGCTCATCCCACGCAGTCTGATGTCCAGTTGTTGCTCCGCCCGTGTAGTTTCAGGGCCTACCGGCGTATGGAATGCGGTAGATACTGCCGTAATATTCTTCTGGCGTCGCCAATGCGAGTTTGTTAGTGTGTTGTCACCGTCTTATTACGCCCCTTGGAATCCCCAAGGACGAACACACTAAGAAGGGCGTAACTTTGGAATCCACCCGGAGGGTATGTACAAAACCCGTAGTTGCTTTCTCGGATGGCTGTTGCCGCTGGTTGATCTCCAGCACGCTTTTGTCCCGTTTCGGAGCTAGCCCGACCATCGGGGGCGGACTGAAGGTATCCTCGCAGTCCGTGTTGCAACTCACTGTCGGAGATTTGATAGTGGCTTATAAGTCATTGTCAAGCGTGTTCGCTTGTGGCCTGATTGGACGCATTGGAATGAGGTCAGGTGACCAGTGGGCCCTTAAGGAACTGCGTCCAGCTGGCACGTATGTGTGTCCGGTTTAAGGTCATCGTTCGGACACAGCCCAGTGAAGGCATATGACCTTGAAGGCAGTCCGTTGTTGACAAAGGATTCATTGTAACAGTCGTCGGCAGACACGACGCCTTAGGAGAGCCTGCACGGTTGCTGACATTTGGTCAGGCTTGATTCCTGACACTTAGGTCCTAATTGAAGGCTGAAAATGGAGCAGCATTCACATTTGTTTGTTCGTGTCGACTAACACCCTTCAGCCAATTAAGTGCACACCAATCTTAAAGGTAACGTAAAAGTGCCCCCTGCTGGGCCCTGGGTCGAAGTAAAACCAATCCAGTATGTCATTTTGGCGTGATTTTTTTCTTGTGAGCTGCCCGCATTTGATTTGTGGGCAAAATTTGTGGGTACATTTTTATCTCTCTCTCACTCCTCCTAGGCCCCACCGTGGAGGACCGTGTCAGTACAAATGAATTTAAACGTCCTACTGAAGGCCTTCGCCGCCTCCAGCCAGTCGACCTTCGGGTTGACTACCTGCAGAATATATCTACGCCGCCGGATACACCACCAGGTATTTTTCGACTGCGACTCTCTCCCAGTCCTGAAACTATTGACATTCTGCCCAACTGGGTATCCTCTTTCCTATACTTTGGTGTTACTCTGGCATCTAACCTTACATTTGCCTTTTTTAGAAATCCGTAAACTTTTATATTACATCCGCCGCTTGCGTTCATATTGCACACCGCAAGCCCTTATCTGG